CGCCGCAGGTTCGGATCCTATATAGGGATGGCCGGTGCGATGCACTCACTGGCTGAGCGCGGTGCAGCCGGTCACAAAAAGGACAAAAACAAACAAACAAAAAAAATAAAAATAAAAAAAGATGTGACAATTGTGTGGGTGAGGGTGGGTGTATATGTGTGTGGATCAATAAAGGCTCCTACATTATACACCAAATATTAATAATAGTGATTATCTCTGGGTGGTTCATTTATGGGTAATTTTTGTTTTTACTTTTTTGCTTTTTTAATTTCTAAATTTTCCATATGAATCTATATTAGTTTTGAGATAAGGAAAAAGTTACTAAAAAGAAGCACACAATGTGCAGTGAACTAAAAAATATTGAAAAAGTAAGAGGCACTTGGGCCAAAAAAGATGTGAAATCCTTTCCGCTTGTTTACAAAGATCCAATACACAGATGTGCTCAATTAGCTTCCTGGACACTCATCGAATTCACATGTGTTTTTGCCAGAAGTTCCTGTGAAACTTAGAAAAGTATTTAGCTGTCAGCATAAAAAAAGATGAACAAAATAAGGCAAACTGGGGAATCCTAAAAAACATACAAAAATTTTCTTCTTATTATCCCTTTACTTAAGCAGACCAGCATTAAATCTGTTCTGACAGTCTTAATAAACCTCAAAAGCGATTTAATTTCTTTTACAAAAGAAGAGCTCTGAAAAGATTTAAATAATGTTTGGTCTTTTTGAAAATATTCAAAAATATTTTATTAGGCAACAATTGGGCTTCAGTTGAGTAGACCATTATTACTGTACAATGTATTTCCCAAATGTTTTTTTTACTATAGTATATAAAATCTAACCATTTACCCTGACCATTTTAATAACATTTATTGCAAATAAATACCTTTAGGTCTTTGTATTTTTTTCTAACCTCTTCACTGAACAAATATTGTTAGGAGAAACTGGATCCTTCTAAAATTAATTTTCAATAATAATCTTTAAAGGCCAAAATACTGCAAGACAATTCTAACTGAAAAGTTCAATAAGCAGTCTTGTATGGCTCCAATAGACTAGAACCTAAGAAATCCAAATATCACACTAAGTATGTCTCCAACTGTTTATCAGGCTCACTGTCACCTGAAATGTAGTATGTTAAGTCTACAACTTAACTCTTCGTATCCTCCAGCTCCACAGACAATATTCCCCTCAAACAAAACAAAACAAAGAATTTTCCTAACTTCTTTTTTCTGTTCTGGCATCAAGGCATCTGTCATAGCATTATCACCTATCAGTCACTGAACCTTGGAGTTCAGGTCCTCATCAGCTCCTGCCTGGGTTATTTTAATAGCCTCCTAATTTGTCTTCCCATCTAATCTATCCCCATTTGAATCCAAATAGCATCAGCTAACCAGCCATCTTAAACACTACTTTAATCACATTAGAACTCAGATCAAGAATCTTAGATTGAATTTTATCCTACAAGCAAGGGAAAGCAAACTCTTTATAAGAGTATTTAAAGCCTTTTTCTAATCTTCTGCTTCCATTCAATCTGTGCAATCAGGCTGATCTATCACCAACTTCTGTTAATGACTTGTTTAAGCTGTCCTTCCACCCTCACTTTCTCATCAGTGCAAATTTATCCTCCTAGACGCTCAACTGAAACACTAATATGGTATTTAGTAACCATTACAGCTATAAATAAACTCTTTTCCTTTAGAATTTCAAAAACTTTCATGTATTGTCTGATCCATTTATTAGGCACTAAACCATACTGTCTCCTACTGTCAAGTAATTACACACCTATGATCTAATTTCATTAAGCAGAGGTAATTCCCTTGTGGGCCCTTATATTTGTTGTACTTCTCACAGCCCCTGACGGATAGCTAGAAACTGGTAAATGCTCAATTAATATTTGGTGAACAATGAATGAATGATCTGCATGTTTAATTTTTGTACAAAGTCTATGTACAAAGTCATGTAAAATGTCTATGTACATACACACAAGGGGTCTTCAAAAAGTTCATGGAAAGACTATTATTGTCTTTTAATTCTATTTTTTCCACAAACTTTTTGAAGTAATCTCGTGTGTGAGTGTGTGTATACACTCATACATATAATTTTCTGTGTATCTTTACAGCTTTTCTCTAACAAAATGAGTATTATTTTACATAGGCTTATGCATGGTAGGTCCCCAAGACAACCCCCAGATTTGGTGATTCATTAGGAAGGCTCACAGGAAGCATACAGTTGTACTGATGGCTAAGATTTGTTACAACAAAAGGATACAAAACAGAATCAGCACACACAATTTCTCCAGCATCAAATTGTGACATGTGCTGTCTGCCAGAAAAACTCATTAAAGACTCAGTGCCCAAAGTTTTTATTAGAGCTAGTCATGTGGGTACTCTCTGCCTAGCATGGACCAAAATTCCAGATTCTCAGAAGGTGTTTAGCATAAACTACACTGTTTGTACAGTCTAGGCACAGTGAGCCACTCTTATCAATTAGGTAAAGTTTTATATCATGTATAGATCTGTTTAGCATTCAAGTTCCCAGATGCCAGCCAAGGCCCACTTTGTAATCAGGCCTTTCTAAGAGCAGCAGTCTTGGGCCTGCTGTGTTAACTCTTTTCTATGTAACTCATTTCATATTTTTATGGGAGAAATGTTACAGTCTTAACTATATCTGATTAATAAGGGGCATATCAAGTGATTTTTTTTTCAAATTAAAATCCAGCATTTAATTAGAGATGCACTGCCTAGACTAGCACCCACTAATTAAAAGGCATGATATTTTGAAATAATTCACTTCTTTTGGTATTTCAGGTTTTCTTTTTTTCCTTGTAAAATGAAGTGTCTTTCTCAAACTAACAGTTTCATACTTGTCAGGATAAAGGAATTAAATATAACATCTAAAGCAAACAGTGCTTCTTGGACAAGTTCTTTGCCTCCTCTTTAAATTCCAACTGGGTGCCAAAGCAATGTTAGCTGTTTTAGGTACATCATCTTACTAAATCCTCACAGCAACCCCATATGTCAGTGACTGTTTCTGTTTTACAGATGGAAGTTTTGAGAGGACAAATAACCCATCCAGGTTTACCATTGTGGAAATGGGATCTAAGCTTAGACCCATCTCATTCCAAATCCTTTGCTTTACAACATCAACTATCTCTACCTAACCTCAAGGCACAGATTTCTTACTATGAATCATTTCTCTAAAGCTATATGGCTTTTTTATTTGGCTATACAGAGCACTATTCTTAGCCATATTTATCTTGATTAAAGTCAGATTTTAGCTGGAAGAGAAAGGGGTAAGTTTAAGCCAGTGTATTTGACTTTTTCATTTCCAAGTCTTTCAGAGTACAAATCAAATTATATCTCTTGCTCGTTAAAACCATTAAGAAGCTCCCTATTCAGAAACTCTCCAGCATGGCACACAATTTTTTCCTTAATCTGGCATCACCCTGTTTGAAGTTAGACAGAATTGTATTGTACTCTTGGCACTGAATTTACTAGCTGTGGGGACCTTGGGAAAGTAGGTTATGCTTTCTGAGCCTCAGTTTATCTGTCCACAAAATGAGGATCTCTACCTCATAGGCTTGCTGTTAAATAAATAACATATTTAAAATGTCCAGCCAATACGTTCACTGAATAAAATGATTGCCTGCAACTACTGAATGACTGACTTGTGAGAAGTAAGCCAAATCAACATTCTGAGGGAGGAGAAAGGAGGTAGCAGACAAGTGCCCTGACCACCAGATGTCACCACTGGCCCAGGAGCATAGTCTAACTGCCCGAAGTGGGGAGTGGGACCCTGCAGCAAACAGTCTAGGCCTCAGGGTGAGCTGGTCACTTGCACCTACAGGACATTCACCAATTCGCTTAGGCTTTTCACCATCTTAAGAACTGGTACAAAATATTGTGCACCATTCCAGGTTACACTGTTCTTTTACAAACGTATTAAAAATGATTGTAGCATAATCAATTCGCTGAATATTCAGATTTGTCATCACAGTTTAATATTAAAAACTATCCTGCCGGACTATTTTTTGGGAATCAATAGTGCTTCATACATCTTTAGGTTTAGCCAACTGGACATTTTGTCTTCCATAGGCTTCAATATTGCTACAGCAGACAATTATCTGGCCCCAATTACACAACCCATTGACATTACAGTATTTCCTTTACATTATTAATGGAATGACAGATAAAAGGAAAACAATATTTTTAGGGTAAAAATAAAGTCTATGACCAGTACATACTCGTAAAGGCAAAATAAACATTAACTACTGACTCTCCTTGGCAGCGCTCGGGGGCTCATTTCAAAATGACGGCAGGGCCCGGCCTCCCCTTCTGGTTCCAAGTCCTCCACACTGAGACCCACAAGCGGCCACTTCAAGGTGAGTGATTCAGTGAGTACCAGCGCCTCACTGGAGTCGCAGCTGTGTGATGAGGCACAGACTGCTGCCTCGTGTGCCAGGAACACTTGACTCAAGTCAAGCCTGACCCGGCCTACCCCAGCCTCAGGCTGGACGCCCAAGTCCCCGTGTAGCCTACAGGGGAGAAGGAGTTAGGCTAAGCACAGGCTTCTGTTCAGGGAGGACACTCTCGGAACTCAAGCAGTTTGGATTATCTGTGCTTTTGTTTTAACAAAAGTTCAAATTCCACTTTGCATTTCACAAAAAATTAAAATGTCTTAAGATAAACCAGAACCATCCTCTCCCTCTGGCCATTGCTCCCATTCCTAGAGAATTCGGGAGGTAACAGCAACCACCAGGAACCATCTGGAGTCAGAAGGCAGGAGCCAAATCCAGCCCAGATGAACCCATTTGCAAAGCACTTTGTGCAGATCAATAAATTCCTGGCTGACTGCAGACCGGTCCCTAGCGAAGGACGAGCTCACGAGGCTGACCGCCCAGCTGAAGCCAATGGGCCAAGGACAGAGATGCTGCCCATCAAACAAGCCCCTCGGGGCAGGCGGGGACCAGCCTCGGCGGCTGTGGAGGAGCGGGCGGCGCGTTACCTGGAGGACTCGGCGGTGAAGCTTCCGCCGTCCAGCAGCCGCATCTTGCAGAAGAGGACCCCATTGACGAAGGGCACGGAGGAGAGCTCCTCGAGCTCGAAGTCCACCTTAAACTTAAACTTCTTTTTCTTCATCATCGTGAGAGCCAGGCGCCGGCGAGCAGGGTGCGGGGGTGGACCCAAGGGGCGCGCGGGCGGG